GCTCAGAACTCTTCCTTCCATAAATGCTAGAGCACATTCAGAATCAGTTGCACTTCTAGAGTTTCTTTTTTTAAGGGGAGCATCTTATTGGGAAAGGGGAGCTATTTACATAACACTTTGTATGAGGTCTGATAATTAAGTTTGTGAAGTCCTCCTAGAAAAAGTGCTACATAACTCATTGCTGAATATCACTATGGTCACCTGCAAAGTACTCCCCTTAGGAAGCTATGCACTGACGCCAGTGCGTAATCCACCTTTCAGAGCAATTTTGGAACTCTTTTTCTGGAATGGCCATCAGAACTGTCGTTGTATTACCCTTGATGTCCTGAATGTCAACAAAATGTCTTCCTTTCAATATTTCCTTTATCTTCGGGTAAAGAAAGAAGTCATTGGGGGCCAGATCAGGTGAGTAGGGAAGGTGTTCCAATAGTTATTTGTTTACTGGCTAAAAACTCCCTCACAGACAGTGCCGTGTGAGTTTGTGCATTGTCACGTTGCAAGAGCCATGAATTGTTGGTGAAAAGTTCTGGTCATCTAACTTTTTCATGCAGCCTTTTCAGCACTTCCAAATGGTAAATGTGGTTAAACTGTTTGTGCAGTTGGTACAAATTCATAATCAATAATCCCTCTGATATCCAAAAAGTTTAGCAACATCATTGCAACAAGTTTGCAAACTTAATTGTCCAACCTCATATAAGATTGAGAGTGTCAAATGACCGTATTTGAATTGGGGTGGGGGCGAGGCTGCCAAGACTGATAGAAATCCCATTCCCTGGGGCACTGCTGTTTGAAATAAAGGTCCTAGAAAAGGAGAGAAAAAATCCCAGCAAAACTGAATTGGCATGGCCCAGTGTTATCATAATACCATAAGCTCAAAATGTCTTGACACAGTGCCCCCAGCAAGGTCATCTAAGGAACAATTGGACTTCAGCAACTTGTCTTACCTGTCTCAGAATGACTAAGGCCTATTTAAATCTCGTGGTTGGTTAATCATTAATGAAGGTTTTTGACAAACAAAGTAGAGCAAGCCAAGAAAGAAGGGTAGCTAAAAATTAGCCCAGGAAAGGTCATATTTCTTGCAAATGCAGGGTTTGGTGTTGCTTTTGATTGTGGGTATAATTGTGTGGAGTGGAGTTGGAAGGAAATATAATTCCACTGAGGAAGCCAGTGCTCCTCTGAAGATTTTACTTGGGATCCTCTTCCTCCCTCCCCTCCCAGTCATCTGGAGGACTATAGGCCTCCATCACCTTTGCTGAGAAGCCTGCCCTCCTGTAGGGCTACCAGACAGGAAAGTGGAACACCTTGGCTCACACATGTAGCTGCTATATGATCCGAGAGAAAAGGGTAGACAGTCCCAGAGGCTGGAACTTGGATCTAAAGGAAGGAAAGGGTGGGAAACTCTAAGAGCCTTGGTTGTTACTAAAAACCTCTCCCTCTCAAGATCAGGGATGGTGGGCATCACCTGAGATCAGGAAGGCAGAAGGGAAGGAGTTGCCCACCAGGGGGAGCACTCAAATGTACCACACTAGTGATTGCTAGACAATCCCTCAGCTTCTGCAGTTAAGATAAATGCTGGGCTCCACCATTTTCTTAAAGAACTCAAAGTCCTAAGGAAGAATGATTTACAGTTCTTCCCACTTCCTTGTTATAGGGACCAATTCTCTTTCACAGTTAACACAGGTCCATTGACCATGTTTAATGTTGAACAGAACAAAGGTTGGGCTTCTTTACGCCACATCCTTTCTCTTTCTCCTTGGAAGCGGCCATACTTCTTTCACGTACTTGAATATAACACGTTTCCTTCTGGACCTTGCCCTTCCTGTTTCTTCTCCCTGCTCATCTGCACTCCTCATCCTGTAGATCTTTGCTCAGATGCCACTTCCTCCCCAAATCCCTCTTAACCCCCTTCCCAAGGCTGTGTGGATGCCCTTGCATTTCATGGCACTTGCAACATTTTCTTGTCATTCCTGGGAGTTTCTGGAGAGCAGAGAGGTCCATTTTGTTATCATCGTCTCTCCAGTGCCTCATGCTGTGCTGGTACACAATTGTCATTCAACAAATATTTATTGAATAAATGGAAACAAAACAAATAAAATGGAAAGGCTTAATGAAGTTAATATAGTAGAAAGAAGTCACACTAGTTTATAAAGGAGAAGGGGGAAAAAAAGTGTTTCTTGAATGCCTACAACATGCCTGGGCTTTTTAAAGATTAACTCATTTGATTTTCACAAAAATTGTAGTGAGGTCAGGATTATCTCTATTTTACAAATTAAGAAATTGATACTCAGAGAGGCAAGGTGTCTTTTCCAAAGTTACATGGCTGGTAAGAAGCAAAGCTGGGGTTTCACCTCCCAGGCATCCTGACTGCAAACCCAGCCTTGTACCACTTAGCCACAGTGCTTGCTCAGAGAGGTTTGGGCAATCACATTTTTTCCAGGTTTGTTGGTATAAAGAGTTAGGAAACAGAGGAATACTGGGTACCTAGAAAGGTTAAACTAATGAGTGAAAAGAAGACAGAAAAGACTAATTCCAGTATGACAGGTTAGAACTTGAAATTAACAAAACACTTTGTGATGTCTCCTGTCTCATGTTTTTAAATCTAACCCTGCCCTTGACCTTGGGTGTCAGAGACAGGGAATGTATCAAGGAAGTGGTAGGGCAAGGATAAAGTAGGTGTACCTGTATCATCCTACCCAGGAATTTTTAAAAGCTGAAGATGTATTTTTTTTTTTTTAAGGATCATGGTGTCAAAATGTTATTTCACCAAAATGGCCATACCACATTTTATTAAAAAAAATTTTTTTATATAAAGGTTGAGTGCCCAGAGGGCTATAATAAAGATATCACATAAAACTTTTCTTTTAAATAAAAGAAAATTTCTTTTAAATAATCAAGTACCTTAATGCCCTTAAAACAGGGTCTGGTAAGCTGGTAAGGTCAATTATAGCTGACAAAATACACCTTGCACAGTCCATGCTAACAGCACCTGATGAATGTTGGACTGTCCATAGAATTATGTTTCACTAGAAAAGAAAAATTAGAAGTTTTTTTTTTTAAGCTGAGCCATCCTGCCACCTGTTGGCAGCTCAGTGGCTGCTCAGCTTGGGCCGGGAATTGAACCGCTGTTGCTCAGAGCTCAGAACTTTGTTCTAATTGTTCTTTCAACTAAGTGCTTATGTATGTTGTCATGACAGATATTTTTGGAATAAAAAAAAGAACACCTATTCTAATGAAGAATCAGAGGGTATAGTTGACTCCCTTTGATAGTTCTTTCGCCTCCTCCATCATTTTTGGACAGCCTTGTAGATAGAACTCCCTAAATATACGAGTGTATACATTTTCAGCAGCCACTCTTATAGCTGCTATGTCTTTCATGCTGAGAGTAGGCATTTTCAGCCATTCTACCTTCAGTTCCCATCTCCCAAAGAAAGAGTTGCCTATGAAAACACACTTTTTAGCCAACAGAAAATAAACTACACTTGTAGAGAAGCTTTTCTGTTTCTGGGCTCTGAAGTAGGTCACTGGCATGACTGGTTTTATCCATTTCCAGGGTCAGTGTGCTGTTAGAATCTGGGACTTGGGAGTCTGAGCAGAGATTTCAGTCCAGGTTTTACCAGCTGTGTGACCTTGGCCAGTCACGGTATCTGCCCTGCCTACTTCACTGAGTTATTGTGAGGTCCACCTGAGATTACGGGAGCCAAAGAGCCTAATGAATCACATAATCATAACATTTATCCCCACCCGACATGCTATTTACCTGCTCCTTTTGTCTGTGTTCTCCCACTGGAATGTTAAGCTGTACGTATGCAAGATTTTGTTGGTTTTGTTCATGCTGTAGCCATCACAGCACCTAGAACAAAGCCTGGCACCTCGTAGAGTGCAGTGTACATTTTTGTATGATTTTTTTCATTCTTTTTCAATCAAACTGTATGTGATTCTGCAACTTGAAATGCATCTGTACTTGTCTCCTAGAACAAGGAAATCAGCAGATCTGTTGCTCTTGAAAATGTTGCCTAATGATCTGTCATCTTGGAAAGTTTCCCAGCCTCTTCTGCCTCTAAAAAGGACTTTACCTTTTTAAGAGGAAGCAGGAAGTTAGTATTCCAAGAAATGTGGGTTGGGAGGCTATACCCAGCAGCTCGACTAAGAAAGTGAAACCATTCATCTTAATCAATGGGAAAACCATGTGGGGAAATTTTTAGAAGTAATTCCACTGACAACCCATCACTTTCCCTTGAATCATTTGATTGGCTTTGCTGATGGACACGGTCTGAAGTCAGTGATGATCTGTAGAGAAAAGAGAAGGAAGTGTTCTGCTAACTTGCGGTGTGCTGTGAAAATGAGAAACAGGCTTTGGTTCCCGATGAAGTGACCAATATTCAGGTCACCCCAACGCTCTCATGAAACCACCAAACAACTAACTCAATGTCACATAACTGCCTCCATTTAGAGCTCTGAGTATAAAGCTCTTGGGATCATATGCAAACTTCAGTACTGAGAACAACGACAGGCTTTGCCACATCTTATTCCCATCCAGATGGTTTTTCTCGTTAGAAGAAGAATGAGCAATCCAGATTTGAGTGTTCAACCTTCAATCACCTGATCTCAAGTTGATAGAGTGATAATTCACAATTTTTACTATGTACCCTGTCTTCAGTGGTAATTCCAAATCAAAAAACATGAGAGCAACTTGCTGGTTTTTCCAGCTGAAAATAATGAATTCGTTGATTCCTTCTATGCTGTAAGGGTTTTTCTAATTTTGTTAGGGGAAAAAAAAAATCAATATAAAGAAAACACAATTTTAAATAACATCTTGAAATTGCTTTAAAGAAAGCTTTATTTACTACATACATCCTAAGAATGTATTGTAAATGGAGCAAGATCTAAATAAATTTAAAAGCTTTTCAAATACAAAGCAACTAAAGATAACTAAACTTCTAGCATGTTTGAAAACACAGAACTCTAAAGCTTTTTTTTTTACATTTATATAGTTTGTTCTTAACCCTAAAAAAAAAAAAAGTTCACATTTCAAGTTATAAACTCATCTCAGTAGTGTATGTGAAATGGTATTGAAACAGAAACAGTTAAGAGGCTCACTGATACTTAACTGGCTATGTTACCAACATTTGTTTTTAAGGTAGTTTGGTATTTGCCATGTTAAGATATCATTTTTTTTCTTTTCTTTTTATTACTTTTTTTCCCCCCAAATAATTTACAGGCACATGTAAAATACAGTAAGATAGCTGGGTCAGAGTCTTATCCAGTGAACCTCTGTGACAATCCTACACTGGACGGAGAGGACTTCTTTCCCACAAAGTCAAGGGATGAGGATCTGACCCAAACTGCATCTTGTTGGACTGCTCACTCCAACAGATTCGTGTTTGGATGAAGATTGCTGGGTACATCCTCAGGAACATTGCACAATTACTTTATGTCATTTAAGAACGATGGAAAGGAATGTTAGGAATATTTAAAGGCCTTTGCAGGCAACTCAATAATTTTACACAATAAATAAATATTGCTTATATATAAAAAATTCATCCCACCTTAAGACGAGGAGGGAAAAAGGCATTTGGGAATCTCTGAATTTAAAATTTAAAACAAAACTAAAATATTTGCTCAAGGCATAATCCTATTTATTAATCTACAAATAAGAATTCAGCCATCAGCAAAAATTCAGTGAGTGGAAAGATTTTTATGGATCTCTAATATGACATAAAAACACAACTGCGCTACTTGCTACCTATTGCACACCTCACTTCCTTGACAGAGCCTTTAAAAAAATTCCAAGTTGATGTATTTCATAAAGTAGATGACAATCTTAACATTTTACTGTATTTTACATTCACTCTGTTAAACAAAAGCCTTCAAACAGGCACAAAACACTGCAACAATACATTTACTTCCTAATAAAACAACTTTTTAATAACAGTGAAATAAAAATGGTTCCATTTTGCATTAAACTATATACCATGAACTTCTGCAACATAAAACAACTAAAAAGGAGCATTAGGAGATATTTACAAACTATCTTTTAACTCCTGCAGGTCTTTTCTCCTCCTCTTGGATGTGCCTGCCCCAATTCAGTTCCCTGCCATGTACATGGCAATGGAGGAAAGCCCTGTTCAATAAACACAGCATTTCCAACACCCTCGACAACCGCAGACATTCTGCATGAAACATGGTAAGACAACTAGAAGCATAACTTTCTGCAACAAGAGTCTTTGGGGACCTCGTCTACAATAACATTCATTGTCTCTACAAACTCATACTTCAAAAACAAATAAAATAAAAACATTAGAAAAGGAACTGAAGTTTTATATTGGACAATTCAATAGCTATGCAAAGATGTCTTATGCAAACTATTAAAATCTTGTGCTTACACATACTCGGCTATTGAAAATTCCTCCCCAACCAAAACAAAAACCCCAACAAAAACCCAGGAAGAAGTATAAAAGCCATCAAAGTTTTCTCTATCAGTGATTCATCTGCCCCAGACTTGCCACACAGGGAGGTGAAATTGGGGACAGAAAGCAGGGAAGATTAGGTGGGGTGGGGGAGTGGGGGGAATGTGTTTAAGAGCAAAGGCACAGAGGGAATGAATGAGAAGGGGCCCCGGGTAATGGTGGCAGGTGAGAGCTTTCCAGTGTTTGGACTCAGAAGTGTGACAAGTCTTTTCAATGTTGGCTTAAGGAGAGATCGAGTGATTTTAGTTTCTTTAAAAAAATAGAACCATCACGGATAACACACGGTAACACCGTCAACCCTTAATGCCAGCAGAAATTTTAAAATTGCACTTTCCAGTATATTTTTTAAAATAATGTTTTATGTAGTATTTTTAAAGCACTATTGTTTGTATCTTTAAATATTGAATATATTTTTCAAAATAGTTCCCTAGCTGCTCAAGTGTGCTTTTTAATATATAGTTGATATATTATTGAAGGTACTACAAAATAGAAATCTCTGGAGTGCAGAAGTTAAGAAAATAACCTTCATACTGAAAATATATCCTTAAAAATACAAAAACAAAAACCTCTATACAAACGTACTACAGCATACAAATTTTTAAGAGATGGTATTAAGGCACGAACCTTTGCAAGTCTCTTAGAAATGTATGAACACCGGCTTGCTAAACTGAAAATAGTCTTAAAAAACTAGTGGAAACTTCATGTATATAAAATATTTCAGTATGATATTTGATTACATTCTTCACTTTCAGGTTTCATATGTGTGCTAATCCATCACGTTGTTTCTTCATAAATAGTAAAGTGTTCCTTCAGTAGTAGTTTTGTGGTTTGTCTCCGCTCTTGTCATCAGAATCAGTATGTCTGGTAGACATCATGAATGGGGACCTGAATAGCAGCAGCAGGGAAGGCCTGAGGTATATAGCCGGCGTATCCTCCATAAACGGCAGCCGCAGCGGCCGCGTTCTTCTGTAGTGTGGCGATCGTGGCTGTGGCTGGAGCAGCAAATGGAACGTAACTGGCCCCATAGATCCCGGCAGTGGGAATTCTCTGAACGTTTGGAGCCATCGTGTATACTGGAGTTATTGGGCGGCCCTGAGGAGGAGGAAAAGATTCCTTACTGATTGCTTGTAGGTAAGTATCCCGCTTGTAGGTGCCTATCCCATTTAGTCATCTAATTCATTCAACAACTCCATTCATTTATTCAACTCTCAGAGGTAAAAAGGGAGGTGTCCACTTTCAGGGTGGGGAGATAGAAGGGTAAGCAAATAACAATAATTGTTAAGTGCATGTGAGAAGAGCCATTAAGCTAAGGTGGAGTTGCATCCTCAAGGCTAATTCAAATTCAACTGGTGAAAGAGAACTGGAATGCTGAAGGAAAGTTGAAACACTCTAGAATCTCCTACCCACCATTCTATTCAATCAGCACAAACCCCAGAGGGAGCTAGAGAGGGGAGTTGAGAATCTACCCTTTACTCAGTTGATCTCGCTATAATTAAAAATAAGTATTTTTCCTAAAACATGGCCCTAAAATACATGTCAGCTGCCTCAAGTCATACTTAACTGAAGAAACATGATGTTTCAAAAACAAAGAGGATAGGCTGACAACATTATGGAACAAAGTGTATACAAGGGGGTGCCAAAAAAATTTATATGCATTTTAAGAAAGGAAAACTGTATTAAAATTGTAATACTCAATATATACTGATAACAAAAGATGAATACAATTCATGCTTGACTTCTGCAATTACAAGAGGTGTTCAAAGTAGTTCCCATCAGCATCCAGACACTTCTGATTTTGGCGAACTATTGCTTGAGCAAGGTTGACCAAAGTGTCCACTTGTATACATTTTTTTTGGCATTCCCGGTAGATTTCCAAAGGGGCAGCTTCTGAAGCTGTGCCTTTTAAAAACTGTGATCATACACAATGTTCAACAAATGTAATGGTTTCAACCATCTCCCACCTAAGACATAACACCAGTATATACAGAAATTGTTGTAGACACTTAGAGAAAGAACCAACTAACTTGGGGAGTTAGAGAAAGCATCTCAGAAGTGGAGACATTTGAGCTGGGTTTTGAAGGATGAGGAGGAGTTCTCACATTAGGAGGAAGAGGGAGACAAGCTAACTAGGCTGCCTTACTGTAGATGCCACCACTGACTGTAAAAGTCCCTGCTGCTTCCTTCTCTCTACTTGGAGGTGTAACGTACTGTGTTTTCAGAGCAAATAGGCATAGAGAGGGAAGACGGGGGCTCAGTATTTCCAAAAGTGTTTGCTATGAAAAAGGGGATTTGGGGTAAAATAAAACCCACATTTAACAAAGTATATGGTGCACTTTATCTTCCACAGAATGCCTTGTAGCAAATGCTGCTATGGTCGGTCTCCATATTTTAATGCATCTTCAAATAAACAATTCAGGATATATGGAGAATTAGGTTTAAAAAATTATTTCCTCCTGGATTTCTATAAAGGAGTAAGTTATCATTCCGGCACAAAATCTGCAGATCAGAGTCACAAAATTACGTTCTAAGGAATTTCATAATCTAAGCATCATTTTTTCCAACTAACCACAATAATAATTACACTAATGATAATAATAACTGAGAGATTAGGGTCTACCAGGCACTATTCTAAGGGCCTTATTTGTATGACGTTATTGAGTCATCCATCACCAGCACCAATGAAGCTGACACTGTGAGTATATGGAGGTTTAGATATGTTAAAGAACTTGTACAAGGTGACACAGCTTTTACACAGTGGGATGTGTGACTCGGGAACCTGCACTCTTAGCCTACATTATCTTGCCTCCCGTCACTTATAACAATGACTATCTCATGGGCAACACTTTACATTCAGGGAGAGAAACTTCGGAACTGGGAAGACTGGCTCACAGCAAGACACAATCTTTTCCAAATGTGTGGACGTATAGTTAATGACAAGTGCACAAAGGGAGGAAATTGCAGAGAAGACATCTGAGAGAAACCTCTCCATATGCTACAGTCCGGCCCAACACTGGGCTCAGAGATGGGGTGGGGTTGAGTGTGGGGAATTAGGGGAGGGGGAGGGAAAAAGACCTGTTTTCCATTCTTTCAAACAGGAATGGCTATCTTTGCTCTACTGATACCACAGATTTGTTGTGAAGATTGAGAAAACTTTGAGAAATCAATCTGAAAAAATGACTACCTACACCAGTAAATATTTTCTGTATTACTTATAAAGGCTATATGAAATCTTGGATATAAAATGGCTAAACAGGAATATCCCTGAGGACCTACAAGACAGGATGACTGAAGGTGTTCCACAGGAAGGTTCTGGAAGCCGTGCTGGGAAATGATTTCCAGTGTGGCTCTACTCAGAAAGGTGTTCTATTCACCAATCACTAGGGCATAAAATGTTCCTTCTGTTGCAATTTGGCAGAGAATACAGAGGGGGCAGAGGACTGAACATGGCAGAGGACCGAGGTCAAAGAACTCAGAGGCAGGACACAGAGTACTTAGACTTGAGGGGAGCACCCAGGCCACACACACGCAAAGAAGCCATCCCCAGGTTAAAAAAAATAAGCGGCACCAGGCATTATGCAGAATATACTATAGGGGAAAATCTCCAAAGTAAGCAACTGATAATGATTGTACATTGAAAAATTCATAAGCAAAGACTTCGAATAAAGACCATGGTGGTGACATCCAGAGCAGACTGGCATAAGATAGAAACAGTCTATTATTCTGAACATGATTATGAGGCCTGTAATTTGGGCCTGATCAGAACTGATGCTATATGCCAAAGACAAAAGTTTATGAGTTTCTCAGTAAGGAGGAATTAGAAATTATTACCAGAATTACACCAAGTATTGCTTGTATTTTAACTGTAGATACTTACAGTCCATAAATAATAACTACACTTAGCTGTCATTCTGCAGTGTGAGTCATTTACAACCTATTCCTTTTTTCGGCTTTAGGAAGTCCTGAGTTAAAGAACACTTGATGACATATTGATAGATGAATTAACTTTAACCTTTTCGAATAATGCAGTCAAGAATGGTGCTCACATGGGCAAACGGAAGAACACAGCCCTACTGAGGTCGGTGTTCATAGCCTGGCTCTGTTTCAGCATCACTGTGGAGCTTGTACAAAATTCGGATTCCAGAACCCAATTCAGTTCTGTGAACTGGAATATTCTGGGGTTTGAGTCTAAGAATCTGTGTTTTAAACACGTTCCCTGAGTAACATTTATCCAATTAGAAAAGAGACCCCTGGGCCTGAGTATTTGTGCTTGTTGATTGATAAAAGTATTTGAGATTCACTGCCTCACAAAGAATAGCTTTCACAAGATTTTTTTTGTGCTTGGAGGAATGACCTGTCACTTATAGATAGTCCCTATGTGCTATGCACTAAAGATGCAAAGAAATAGAAGATGTAGCTCTTGGCCTGGAGGAGTTTCATTTTAATTGGGGAGATAGAACACATTGGTAGTCAGATGCCAAGTAAAAATGTAGATAATGAGAGGTGCAGGAGAGACGATTTCCAAGGTTGGTGGATGGGAAAGGTTCTACAGAAGAGATGAGACTGAAGAAACCATAGATGAGAGAACACTTGAGCAAAGATGGGGAAGGAGGCTGGAATAGTGAGACTGGAAGGGGACATGCGGGAATAGCTGGATATGGTTGGAGGGGATTAAGGGCAGATTTTAGTTTCATATATCTCATCTCTACAAATATTTCTCTCCATGCACAAACATACTTACACATATATGTGTACATATAATATATATATATATATTCACACAAATATCGTACTAAGTGAGGGGGTGGAGAGAGAGAGAGGGAACATAAGAAAACATACTTACATATATATGTATACATATAATATATATATATTCACACACATAGCATATACTAAGAGAGAGGGTAGAGAGAGAGAGAGAGGGAACTTAAAAAAAAAACTTCACCGAACTGCAATTTGAATGGGGAAATGGGAACTATCTTTTTGGACTTTGTGTGTCAGTGCTGAAACAATACCAGGAGTCAAAATTAAAAAATATAAAAACATTGTCATAAAAAATATATGATGTACAGTATTATGACATTGAGAAATTACATGTCATTTTTGCATATTGTTTCCTATCTTTAATACAGTGACAATATTAGGATATTTATTTGAAATTTAAAATTTTAATAATAAATTTTAAATACACTTTTAATAGATTTTTAAAATTTATTCTTTAAAAACTTTTCTGTCCTGTCATGATTTATATTACATTTTTTTTTCGGTCATCCAATCCCATCGTTTTAACAGCGTGCTCAGCACAGAGTAAATTCTCCCGCTGAATGTTAAATGAATCCATGATAGAGGCCTCACACACACATTACAGTGACTGCGCCATGAACTCTACCTGGAAAGGTGGTGGCGTTGACACAGTGGGAATGACAGCGGCGGCGGCGGCAGCGGCGGCGGCAGCACTGGCTGGGTCTGTCTGCACGGCGATGGGGCTGATCATGTGCTCCATTGCATGGATTTTGCCATCTTCCATCATTTTAGGAGCTGGAGCTGCCTGAAACATGGAATACTGGGCCCCAATGGCAGGGATGGCCACTGCAAGAGAAGTAACACGGAAACACAGGTCAGTCACTTTCAGTCACTGAGGAAGATCCATCACTTTCTGAACGATATTTTTGAAAACCCAGTTGGGCAGTCATGGGCTTCTCCCTGCTAATTTATGCACTCTGAGTCCAGGTAAGGAGGTGCTCCCCAAGAGGAAGAGAGGGGAGGTGGTGGGTACTCCCTCCTCTGCTTGTCTTTCAAAAGGACCCATGTGCGTCGGGTGGGGGCTCCCAATAGATCATCATGGAAGGAAAGTCTAGTCAGGTTTCTGCACCAACATTTCTTGCTGCTTCTAGAGAAAAATCTCATTTTGAATCTTACTCTTGATGTCCTACAGAGCAAGAAAGGGCCTTCGAACTACGAAAACAGGCTCAGAATAATAAGCGAGATCAGAGGCCTGAGAGGCCCAACAAGTGTGAGAGTGAGCCGGCCTGCTCCATCCTTCTCACTCACCTCACTCATTACCAGACCTACTGCCCTTCTTACTTTCACCGCATTTTAAGAAACAGGTGCTGTTGAGGGTTTCATTCTGAGAAAGCAGAGGTCTGTGTACATCTTCCCCACCCTGTGTTTCAGATTTCAACATTACTGATTCATGGAAAAATACATAATAAAAAGATGGAAAATTCCCTGATTTTCTATGTCCACTCATACTAGCGAAGCAGTAGTGATTGGTTTTTTTTATTGGACCTGCCAATTCAAAGAGCTGTTTCTGCAAGTCAAGTCCAAAGGACTCATTTCAACCGGAGATTCAAACAGATAGCAGTTATTGAATGTCAATGTATGATCAAGAGAGGTAAAAATGAAAAAATACTAGGGGGAGTTTGTGTTAGTGCGTGGTGTGTGTATGTGTTGAAAAGATAAGCAATAATAATATGAAATGCATACACAAAATATCCTTTTACATCCATGTAAAAAACATGTATCCTTAGGTACATTTATTCTAATGAAAGCTATTTTAATAGAAGTTAAAGAGACAGATTTAACTGTAGGCTAAACAATGGCATGGCCTTTCAATAAAGTACACCTAAAACCTTAGCCAGATCTTTCACCTTCCTTTCCAACCATATGGTCTTGTGCCCAGATATTTCACCTCTGCACTGGCGCTTCTCTTAAAATAAAAAGCTCTAATTTTCTGGATGAGTCAGAAGTAGAAGCCAAGGGGATGGGGCCCAGAGAGGGTTATGAGGTACAGATACAGTGGGACTATACTAAGTAACTCTCGGTTGCTCTATCAGTCCACAGGAATTTCTACCTCAGGCCCCAGGACACAACCATATGCTTAAAGATGGTTTAAGCTACTGCAACTTGACAGCAGGAGTCCCTTTCCCAACAAGCAGAAGTGAGAACTCCTGTCTCCAGGCTGTTTTATGGAATTAGAGAGGAAGGGGATCTTGCTTAATAACATCAATGGCATTCATAAGGAAATCCAGTCTAAGGAGTTCCTTCCTTCTCACTCACTTAACCGCAGAAATTGCAAAACTTTTTCACAGGCAAAACAAAACAAAAACAACTCACTACCACTAGATTAATTCAAAGGAAAGCTCTATGGAAAAATGCTTTTAAACCCTTTGTGGCCATTGCAAACCTATGCCCCAAATGCGCAGATTCCCTGACTGTTTTAACTAGAAGCAGCGTGCAATCCTCAGCCAGAAGAAAATCAGAATAACTGAGCTTCAAAGTGAGAATTCTCTCAAAGAGCTCTTCAACCTACCCTCCATTAAGCTAGGAAGAGGTGTGGAGGCGGATCACTCTGATTATCCACAGCTGGACTTTCTGTGCGTGTGTGGATGCTTGTGTGGGTGTGCTAGCAGGGCATTTGTGCTACACTCACACTGTGGAGAGTTAAATAAAGTTCCTTCCTTGCAGGTTTGGATCCGAAAGAAGACCTGTTTCACCAAAGGGCACTGACAATGTTAGCAAACTGGTTTGTGAGGCCTGGAGGTGAAAGTAAAGTTCAAGGTCCCTGGCATGAATACTTGAGTGCACCTACCCCCAATCTACTGATCCAGCAAGAGGAGGAAATGAGTGCTGGGAATTAGAATCCAGACAATTAGCAGCTGCAAAAGCTTTCACCGCTGCCTTGTTCCAGGCATTCTGGTTTGTTAAGACCACCACAAGGGACAAGTAGTGTGCTATGTGCTCTCAAAGGGGAATTTTCTACAACTCTCAAAACAGCAATAAACTCCACCCTCTGGCTTCTAATGACTGGGGCAGAAATAGGCTTGAGTAAGGAAGACAGTTTTTAACTGGTAGAAGATACAGAAGAGCCTCATATTCTTTCCCCAACCCTTCCCCCAACTCTGCCTCCTTAGTCATAGATTGAGAGAAAGCCTAACAGTTGGTGACACCCATTTGAAAAACCCACTACTAGAAAGTCTGACTTGAGCATGGTCAGAACTAGACCATCCTTTTAAGTTCCAGATGAGAAAGGCGAGGAGGCCACATTCTTTGCCTAATCTTTGGATGCCTATGAGAAGAGGAACCCATGTGCAGATGAAAGAGCATGAGGTAGGTTTGGGGGTCACTTCAAAGAGAGGGTTGGGGTTTAGGCTGAATGGATGGGTTCTCACTCTGGTTTATACTGACCTGTACCAGGTTTAATGGCAACTGGATTGACAGCAGAGATTTCCAAATTCGGTACAAGTTCATATCCTTTTTCTTGCTGCTTTCCTTTCCCTTCATGATATCGGCTATATATACCACGGCCAGCAGAATATCCCCCAAGGTAGGAACCCCTTGGCCCCGGGGCTCTGTTGCCAGCTGCACCTCGACCCCGGCCTCTTATGCTGCCTGCTTAATAACAACACAAAAAATGATGAGCAACCAACAGTGACAGTACAGGGGGGCAGACCTTAACTGAAGGATCTTGGCATTTAGGTGTTTGCCCCAAATCTAAGTTGCAGGGGGCTACACCTTTGTTCTTCAATGAACGTAAAGATGCTTCAAACATTCTATTCTAGGGGCCGCCTGAGTGGCGCGTTGGTTAAGAGCTGGCTTGGGACGCCAGAGGGCCCCGGTTCGGATTCCACATATGAAGGCCAGTGACACTGTCCTCTACAGCTAAGATGCTGAACAACAGCTCAACCTGGAGCTGGGCTGCCGAGAGTTGCCTGCGATGGCAGGTGGGTTGCCATGGACTACTGTGTGTAGCCAGCAGCCGCTGTGAGTGGCGGTCCAGAAGCCGGCAACTGATCTGCCTCACCCAGGAAGAGCGCAATGATGGTGCCAACTTGGGCCAGTGAAGCAACGTGCTCCACTACTAGACTGAAGAACAAAAGGACAGCAACTTGTCTGTTCCCCTTCCCTCAATTCCCCAGCGCTGTTCCCTTCCCCCAATTCCCCAATAAAAATCTTTAAAAAAAAACAAACAAAAAAACCCCACTTTCTATTCTATTCATTTTAAGTATATCTGCTTGCAGAGTGAGTTCCTAGGATTGCAATTGCCATTTCAATAAAGAAAAACGTTTACACATTGTAAAAAAAGTTAGAACTGAAAGTGGATCTGGTGGTTCACCTTCCTCATTTTATGCGTGAGAAAACGGCTTAGGGAGGTGAAAGAGACCGACTGAAGTCACAGAGCCAATTAATCTGAGAGCAGGACCCAGAGCCTGTGTATTTTGTTTCCCAGTGTAATGCTTAGTTTCATTGTACCCTAGCCAATGATTTAAAAACAAACAAAAAAAACCCCAAACCAACAACAGTGTGCTCCCTACTCTCCAACGTTCTAAAGATATAATTTCACAAGTAGGTTTTAACTTAAGTATCTAGAGACTAGCCCCCAATTGAGTAGACCCTAAAAGGGCAGCACACAACAGCTTACATACCCCCATGATTCTACCATTCACCCCATACATAGGAACAATCTGAACCTCTCTGTGCTATAGAAGTGAATGCCTTTAGTGCCAGCAAAGAACAGAACACAGAACTGACACCCAAATCAGGGTGGGTCAGTGTCCACCAGCTCAGTCAATTACAGCCACAACACCTCTGTCACTGCCTGCATAGCAGATGAAGAGAACAGCCCCCACTAACCTTTCACGAAGTAGTCTCTATTGGGCCCGATGAGCGCATTGTAGGGGTACCCGTAGTAGGCCAGCGTGTAGGGGTCGCAAGAGTACACGTAGCTGGGCTGCTGCACCGCTGCGGCCTCGGCCGTGCTGCCACCCTTGGCTGCCTTCTGGTAGCGGGAGTACTGCTCCTTGTCCACGGGCTTGGCCAGCGTCACCTCGAGGCACGAGCCCTCCAGCTCAGTGCCATTGAGGTTGTTCATGGCATGCACGGCATCCTCGCGGCTGGCAAAGTGCACGAAGGCATAGTCCCGGATCTTCTTGACACGCTCCACGCAACCCGGGTTGAACTGGCCGAAGATCTTCTTGATGGTGTCCTCCGTGGTCTCGATCATGAGGTTCCGCACATACAGAATCTTCACGGTCTCCATCACGTCCTCATCCACGTCGATCTCGGGCTCGGCCCAGTCCACGGCGATCTGGTGGCCCCACAACTGGATGCGGCCGGGCATGAGCTTGCGGCGCGCCATGGCAGCGGCGCGGTGGCTCTCATACTCCACGAAGGCGAAGCCGCGGTTCTTCATCTTGTCGGCCGCGCTGGCGTAGACGATCACGTCCAGCACGCCCTCGGTGACCTTGGAGATCTCCTCCAGGATCTCCTCGCGCTTCTTCATCTTGGGGATGCCGCCGATGAAGAGGCGGCAGTTGTCCACGCTGCAGCACACGCCGAGCAGGCGGCCCGGGCGGATCTCGTAGTTGTTGAGCTCGCGCACGGCACGCTTGGCCTCATTCTTGTGGCAGTACATGACGAAGGCATAGCCGCGGTTCTTGCCGTCGAAGTCCATCATGAGGCGCAGCTCGTAGATGCGGCCCACGGTCTCGAACACGGGCACCAGCTCGTCCTCGTACACGTCGCGCGGGATCTTGCCCACAAAGACCTCGCAGCCGCGCTGCGGGTGTGGACCCTCCCAGCCCGGGGGCGGGCCGCCGTATTTGCGCTGCCCGTTCTCCTGCACCATGCTGTAGCCTGTGCGCTCCAGCAGCGCCAGCAGCGCAGCCTCGTTGGGCGCGCCGGCCACGCCCTCCGGCACCTTGGCAGAGGACGCTGCGGTGGAGTCGCTGCTCATGGCTGCGGCAGAATCCTCTGCGGTCATAATGTCAAAGGCATCCACGGCTTGCAGAAACCTGGAGGAGACAGAGGGAGGGTGAGTGTGGAATCTGCATGGAGTTGAGTCAGACCTTGACTCTTCCCACCCGCTTTTTGTTGAAGACACCCAAGACTCATGCTTAACCGTCAGATGGTTAAATGAGAAGTCAGATGGAGATGGCTCTGGAAATGCAGCACCTCTAAAATAGTCTAAATGAGTCAAGTTGTTTTTCAGGAAAAACCAGAAGTGACGAAGAAAAAAAAATTCAGAATGAGCAAGTGCTTCCGCTTACTCAGTACCCCAGCAGCTTTGAAGCATGGAGAACTTGCTGTAATTGTCAGTGAAAACCTCATGTTCTTGCAGCAGCATATGGCAACATCTTTTTGCTCAATTCATGCACTGTCAACTCAGATTGATTACTTTTTAGTTATAGCATTTTACCCCATTTATTTCGTTGGCAGACAAAGCCTCTTCCTTTGCTTTCCTTTTAAAGAGGTGTTTGTGTTTTTTTTTCATTTACTAATGGAAATAGAGCAATGTACTGACACTGTTAAGGAAAATTTTGAGTCTTTATTGCACAAGACAGACACAGAGCTGTGCGCTGAAGCTTTTTACAAGGAAGAAATGGATCATACACAATGCCCAGGACTTGGCCTAGGAACTGTGATAAAGAGCAGCTAAGTCTGGTTTTTGTGGTGCCATTCATTCAAGCAGAATTCTTGGTATGAACCATTCATGGATTTAGAATCAGTCCACAAAGAGATTAAGTTCAAACGGGGACTTGTGAGAAACAGCAACTACCTGGTAAGCCACACTATAGTTTTCAGAGAAGTGTCACATGCATTATCTTATTTGGTCTTCTTAATTGCCTTACATGTTAAGTAATATTATCATTAGTTCCAATTTGTCTATGGGGAATTAGGCTCAGAGAGGTTGAGTAAATTGCCCATTTCACACAGCAAGTGTCAGCTCATACCAGCACTTTATTCCAAGTTGCTTAGCTGCAGAGTCTGTGTGCACTTAGAAGTCAGTGCTGTGCACTAGAACTTTCTGTGATGATGGAAAAGCTGTCACTAGCCACGTGTTGCTACTGAGCACTTGAAATGGGGCTAATATGACTGATGAGCTGAGTTTTTCACTTTATTTAATTTTAACTAACTAAAAATTAAATAACCGCATATGACAGTAGAGGTCTAAACTGTGCCACCTTCACTAATACAGCTCAGGGCTCTGTGGAAACAATTTTAAATTATACAATACAATTGTCACAAGGAGCTGTGTACTGGGCTTTTGTAATGAAAAGTTCCGATTGGCCTTGTAAAAAATGAAGTTTTAATTATGCTAAGTGAAATAAGTCAGTCAGAGAAAGACAAATATCATATGATCTCACTTATACGTGGATTCTAAGGAACTGAATGGATGGGAGAAGTGGATGGAGATAGTCTCAGAGACACAGAGGAAGAACTGAGGGTTGCTAGTCGAGAGCGGGTGGGGATGAAGGAGAAGGGGAAGGGATGAGACAATACAATTGGGTAATTGTAATATGGCCGCAGGGATAGAAAAAGACAGTCCGAGGAATACAATCAATAATGTTGTAAGCATTTCTTAGGGGGCCAGATGGACCCATGTCCTTTTGGGGAGTCCACTTCATAGTTGATGTAGAGGCCTGACCACCGCATTGTATTTCTGAAACTGATGTTGAATAATACTGTATGTCAACTATAATTATATATACATATAACCTCGGGACATGGAGTAGAGTGCGGGAACGGATTCAATGGAATTGTAATAGATAAGCATGATATCGGGGTTGGGAGGGCAGTGGATGGGGGGAGGGGGGTTGTTACTTTGTGAGGGTGAAAAGGGTAACTATTGCATTGTTCTGTACACCTGAAACTAACAATAAAAATTTTAAAAAAAATGAAGTTTTATTTCTATTTTTGGACTATGAAAGTATTCAAGTAAATTTTATGTACAATTAAGTACATAAGAAATCATTCCTAATTCTGCTACCTAGTGGTAGCCAAAACTAAACTTTCCCATCTTTTCTTACATAGGTTTTTTTGAGGGAAGGGGTGGAACTTGGCTTCTAACAAATTTAAATCCTGCTGCTTTACTTCATTTTATAAGCATTCCTCTATGGTCTTAAAACTCTTTGTAAAAATATAATTTTTAATGGCTGCATAAGGTTTCATCATTTAACTAGAACCTGGAGCATCATTTATTTTTAAAATTTACCAGTAGGAATTGTATCCAAGAGTATTAAGGGAAATTTGAAGGATAGTTAAATTCATCAAAAGAAAAAACAAAACAAATTACAGTGACAAAACAGAAATCTGAGATGCTTCTTTGCCAGTTGGCCAAGTCAGTACTTCCCTGGTTTATCTGCTGTAACATCAGAGGCAGTATATAGTTTAGTGGGGAATCGTGGCCTCTGGAGCCAGACTCCATGGTTGTGTGTGAATCCTAGCTCTAACACTTCCTACTTGTATGACCTAGAGCAAGGATACTTGACTGCTCCATGTCTCAGCGTCCTCATCTGTAAAATGGGAATGATGATGAGGATTAATATTAAGTTTAGAGGAGTGAGTTCATACATACAAAGCACACTAAACTGCGCCTAGAACATTGTAAATGCTCAGCAAATGTCAGTTATTATCTTCCATCCAAACTTCTGGGTAAAACTTCAGACCAATTCTTTCAATTTGAGAGTAATTTTGACACTTTCTCAGTCCCTTAAAAATATGTTTGATATGACTGCTATTCTTATTTTTTATTTTCTTTGCTATTCAAGTGCTTGAAAGTTGGTTTGACAACATTATCCAGTTATGAAGTACTTTTTTCTACTCTAAATTTGAATACATTAATTCCTGTAGTTTCAAGTTGAAACAAAAATTTCAATATCAGATTTGAATATGAAGATCTTTTTCTCCTTCCAAGTGGAAGGTAAGGATATATTCTTAAGAATACTATTTGTACAAACACATATGTATTTATAATCTGTGCCTGGGAAGGAAATGCTAGGTACATATATAAGCATGTATGAGGCAATTCAAGATCTTACATGTTGTACTACATAAAACATTGACTAAAGTCCAAAGGAGTAGACTTTATCACTCTGCTGAGATATGTGCAGTTGATTTTTGTTTTCCTAATTGTACTTTGAAACTACCATTTTACAGACAAAAAAGTTTTATCCCTCCGTTGGGTGCAACTGACCTCACAGATTCATTACACACAAATTTTCAAATATGAAATACGTCTTTACTGTACTAAGTCACAAACATGACTGGCGATAGGTTACGGAAGAGGGGGAAGATACGGAAGCAATGAGTCACAATACTTAAGTTAACTGTTAAGTATTTGAAAATTTGTGTGCAATGAATCTGTGAGATCAGTTGCGCCCGACGGAGGGTTATACTGGTCAGGCTATGGGAGTCAATTCAAACCCCATTAAATTCATCAAAAATTCTGTTTGCTTTCAGTCTGAAATCTGTTGGTATCAGTAACATAATTATCTCATTTAAAATAGCTTATTTCTTATTTCTGTGGGCCAAGAAAATGAATCACGTTACTGGCGCTCTTTTCCTTTTTCCTTTGGCCATTGGAAAGTTCAGGATTGACTCTGTCACTTCAATTTTAGTAACTGTATGGAACATTACAAAACTCTCTCAAGTTCATTTAATTTGGACTATAAGTTTCACTTTTTTAGTCTTGGATATTTCCAATGCCATGAATTTAGCTATTTATATTATTAATCTTACTGTTTATATTTTCTTAGAAGCCACCTCACATAATTTTGGAACTAGGAGATGAATAAATGTGCATGTGCATACACACACACACACACAATCTTATTTGCACTAGACATTGATTAATGCAGTATCTAAACTGTCTTTTACATTAAGTATAAACATTGATATAAAAACAGGTGAGAAGCACAATGAGATGTCATTTCATACCCATTAGCATGGCTATTTAAGAAAAGTAAGTGTTGGCAAGAATGTGGAGAAATTGGAACACTCGCACATTGCTGATGGGAATGTAAAATCATGCAGCTGCTATGGAAAACAGTATGGCAGTTCCTCAAAAACTGAAACATAGAATTATCACATGATCTAGTAATTCCACTATTGGGTATATACCCCAAAGATGTGAAAGCTGGGTCTCAAACAGATATTTGTACACCAGTGATCATAACAGTATTATTCACAATAGCCAAAAAGTGGAAACCAACCAAATGTCCATTGACACATGAAATGGATATCGAAAATGTGGTATGTATACACAATGGAATACTATTCAGCATTAAAAAGGAAGGGAATTCTGACACATGCTATACCAGGGAGGAACCATGAAGACATTTTGCTAAGTGAAATAAGCTAAACAGAAAAGGACAGTTATTATATAATTCCACATATATGTAGTACCTAGAATAGTCAAATTCAGAGAGATAGAGAGTAGAAAGGTGGTTACCAGGAGTTGGGGAAAAGAGTGAGTGGAGAATTAGTGTTTACTGAGTTTATTAGGGATGAGGAAGACGACAGTGTGAATGTATTTAATGCCACTGATCTGTACACCTAAAATGGTTGAAGTGGTTAATTGTGTTATGTATATGTTACAATACGAAAAAACTAAAAAAACAAAAGTGAGAAGGCTCAGAGATGCAGAAAGGACAAAAATAAGATTCCACAAAATTAGGATTTCATTGGCAGCCATTAAAAAATGGTACACCAATTAAAGCACAGTGCTCATAACACCAATGTTGCCGGTTCAATCCCCGCATGGGCCATGAATAACACCCTCCACAACTAGATTGAAACTACTTGACTTGGAGCTGATGGGTCCTGGAAAAACACACTGTTCCCCAATTTAAAAAAAAGGTACACCAAGTCAGTTTAACATTTAAGAAAATCTTATGGTCTACAAACTCTATTCTCCTTACCTTTATAACAAATATAACATAGTTAAATAAATCATATGGTGTGCTGCCCAATGAATTGAAGCCAAAGGCTTAGATACCTAAAAGATAATTTA